ATTGACACGATACCCAGCACAATACAGATCAATCCCCAAAACTGAGAATCATTTTTTAGTTTGTCTGCCGGCTCGAAGAAAGTTATGATGGCATTTGAAATTATTACACCAGAAACTGGTAAAAGCATTCCATGAATTGCTGCAGCAAGTGACCCCAACAAAATAACTGGTAGCTCTGGCTTGTTTAGATTAGCTAGGCGTCCAAGAGGAGATTGCTTTGGGACCTCACTGTCACCAGCCTTGTCTTTCTCGTTATCATTTGTATCATTGCCTTCGTACAATTCAACTACTGAGCCGGGCAAGCCAAAAGGCAAAGTGAAAGAGTGTCAGCTACTGTTCCCTGCAGAATTTCTGCCTATCAATTCCGACGATGTGAGGCTGCTACTTTTGTCAGATATGTGGCGATCTAATTTTTGTTCTGCTTCTTTTGGGCTTTCTTGTATCCGAATAAGTTGAGAATAAGCACCGTCCGGGTTCATTAGTAATTCATCATGGGCACCTGTGTATCCATGCGTGCAAAAATATGATCAATCAAGTTAAACATGTCAAGCATGTAATGAATGGACATAAACTTATGGGAAAGGGGTCCTAACCTTGTTTGATAATTTTGCCTTGTTGAACGACTGATATGGAGTCAGCATTCCTTACAGTACTCAAACGATGTGCAACCACAAGGGTTGTTCTGCCCACCATGATCGTATTCAGTGCCTCCTGAACGATTCGCTCTGATTCCACATCCAGTGCACTGGTAGCCTCATCTAACAAAAGGATTTTGGGGTTTCTAATGATTGCTCGGGCAATAGCAATCCTTTGCTTTTGTCCCCCAGAGAGCTGAGCACCACACTGACCAACCAACGTGTCATAGTCCTGGTATGAGGGGGAAAAAGGAAAATGTCAGCACTTTGGTCAGACAGAAGATGTAGAATATAGAAGTTGATTTGTTGGGGGTTTTTTTTTTCACATACATTAGGCAATTTATCAATGAAATTTGCTGCATTAGCAAGCTCAGCTGCTCTTTTAATCTCTTCGATTGTCGCGTCCTCTTTTCCATATGCGATGTTATCTTTGATTGAAGTCATTAAGAGCAATGGCTCTTGACTAACAAAACCAATCTTCCCTCTTATCCAACCAAGCTGTAAACTCTTGATGTTAATCCCATCGATCAAGACCTCACCGGCCTGTGGATCATAGAATCTTTCTACAAGACTGATCACAGTTGACTTGCCACTTCCACTCTCCCCAACTATTGCCATTGTGGTGCCGCCCGGAACATGTAATGTGAATCCATCGAATATCAGTTGTTCTGGCCTGGCTGGGTAGCTGAAATACACGTCCTTGAGGTCAACGTCACCCCTCATGTCCTCTAACTGCTTACCACTAGTTGTGTCATCTGGGTCAATCTCAGGTTTCCTCTTAATTGTTGTGAACAATCTGTAAGCCGCAGACTGTCCTGCTGCAAAGGCTGCAATGCAGGGGGTTGCTTGTCCTAATGACCTGACACAAACAACTTGAGATCAATCGATACAGTCAACTATTCTGCGGTGAGCATCAGAATATAATAAAATGTACATTTTCCATGTGTTAATGAAGAGAGACTCACAATGCCCCAATCATGACAGCAGACAAGATGCTAACGATGTCTCCTCCTGAGTATCCTTTGCTAAGAATCTACTTTCCACCATACCATATTGCTAAACCATAGTTAGCAAAGAATATGAAGAAAACGGAACCCCTGCCAATGCCATTTGTAATTCCTTCCTGGACAGCAGCCTTGTATGCCTTGTGTATGAACTTATTGTACAACGCAATGGCCTGCTTCTCACCATTAAATGAGACAACCTGTGTATCCATAGGAAACACAGTGAGATGTAGAGATCTCTCTGATACTAGCATTATGCAAATTGCTGATCGCTGAGTGCACTGAACTTACTGTTTTTATGGCCCCGATTGTCTGTTCGACAACATTGCTTGCATCGCTGTATGATGTTTGCCCCTTACTAGATAGTTTGGACAACATTTTTGAGACAACCCCGCCAGCGACGACAACTGGAGGTATGCATGACAACATCACAAGAGATAGAAGCCAACCTTTCACGAACGCAACGACGAAACCACCAATGAAGTTAGCAGTAAGTTGTAGAAACTTGCCAACCTGTAGGATTTTGTACTAGTCAAATTATGCAGATCTTCTGATACAAGCTGCCGATAAAATAAACTAGACCTGAGTCACCTGACCAGGGCTGCGGGGTATGTGTGTGTGAGAGAGAGAGGGGTTGTGGTTGGGGGTACGGGGCTCAGGGCTCTCGTAAGGCCCTGGGTTTTGCCTTAAGTAGGCACCTTGCTTAGAACCCGTGTTGGACAGTAGTTTCAACGACTCATAGGGTTCACCGCTCTAATCGGTCTACCGCAAGAACCAAGAAGCTTGGCCAAGTGGGCGATAATAATGGACAATTTTTTTTTATCGTGCAGTCGTGCTCTTCATTTTACTTGTTGCAGAGTTATTACCTTCTCACCAATAGCATCCTGAACTATCACGGTATCTCCAGACATCCTTGAAACCACTTGTCCGGTTGTCATTTCTACATCAAAGAATGCTATATCTTGTTTCAGGACAGATTTGAGGTACAGAGATCGAATGCGTGTTGCCTGCCTTTCTCCTGTCATTGTCCAGCATGACACCTCTGCACAAACAACACAATGGCTTCAATTCTTAGACTGATACGAGCACCATATGCCTTAAACAACAGTAATACAACTTGTTTCAGTTTGTCCAGTATCAGATTGTCGGATATCACGAACTGCTGGACACTTGAGCTTGTTTTACTTAAAAGCTATTATATCATCATATTGTCATCATGAACAACTAGCGGCAGCAGTATCAGTTTGTGTTGCAAATGTATATGAACACTGGAAAGGTTAAAAGCCGTATCAGTTTGTGTTGCAAATGTATATGAACACTGGAAAGGTTAAAAGCCTATCCATACTTACGAAGAAAGGCAGCAATCCCTGTTCCAATGCCCAGGTAGACAAAGTCCAGAACAACCTGAAGAGAGAGAGAGAAGGGCGGAGGAACAATGAGAAATTACTACCTGAAGCATGTATGGGCTTAATGGCAGAACAAAAATACCGTTAGTTAGCAGGCGCATCTTGTAGTGCTAGGACAAGACTTAACCTATAATTACTATATTAATGTCATTTATATGATAAAATCAAAATCATAAGCAAGTATGTTTCAACACAAATCTAATAACATCGATTTTGTATTACAAAAATAATGTATTAATAAAGAAATTGTTGGTCTAACAAAAATAAATATGCCTACTAATTTCATATGTAGGGACTATAAGTTACAATCTTTAACTAATCCACTGCAAAACGTAGCTTTCATAGAAGCAATGTGTAAAGGCACTATTCTATCTCTGTAAAGGTCAGCTCCCGGATGAGTGAGAAACTGAGAACAACACGCCCCTGAGAAGATGAATGAAAAATAAACTAAATTGTTGCTAATATATAATGCCACCATTTTTTAATAAGGTGATCGTACAACCAAAAGTTAGCGTCACAAGATGCAAGCTTTGTTACACAAAACTAATATAACTGGATTTGTATTTGAAAGCATTGTCTTTTTTTTAGCGCAATGAAAGCATTGGTTATGATCTGGAATTGGATTGTTTTCCAGCAATTTGATCCTAGTTCAGATTTTGAAATGAATTGAATTGGCTAGAATGTGAGTCAAATCAATTTTTTTTTGGTTTGGATGTATATGGATTTGGATTGTACGAATCATTTTCTGAAGTTCTTTTGGATAGTTAGAAAATGGAATGAAATCTCGGAGCGGGCCGGACCTCGGAGCCGCTGTGGCCATCGTACACGCCGAACAAGTGCATTGCCGCCGATGCTGATCCCAGCGCGCCCGCGAGATCCGCTCCGGCACATCGGCGAAGCGCACATGCGGCACCACATGCAGCGGCACGGCGAAGCGCACATGTCCTCCATCACCGGGGCCCGGGCCGCGGGCGGCGCATCGTGGCTCACCCCCACACCGGCACGCCCTCGCTGTGGTAAATGCTCCCCCGCTTGCCGCCCAGCCTGGCGGCACGGGACTTGTCGTCAGCCTCGGCCCAACTGACGCGTTTCGCCGCGCGCGCGGCCCCGTCGTCTCGGGTGCAAGCCGTCGCCATCGCAAAGCGGCCTGGCGGCGGGGAACTGCTCGGCGGCAACGGTCGCTGTGTCGGGGGATAACAGGCGAGTAACAGCATTTTCGCTTGTTGGTTTCAGCCAGACTAAACTAGCTAGCCAACAGTATTTTGCTCTCACAAAAAACCAGCACCAGCCAGCTTTAACCAGCACCAGCCCCAACATGCCCTAAGGCTCCGTTGGGTTGTCCTCGAATGGGACGTTCCAGGCCATGAAATCTTCCATGCTATTACAAATTAATGAAGAAACTTTTTTTCTTGATCGGGCGTTGTGCCCGTTTTTCATGGTTGGGCAATGGTGGCGAGGGGCTAGCATTCCAACACCGCAGCTTCCTAACTACTGGATCCACTAAGAAGTATTACATGATGATCGAATTTTTGCGACCACGAGGGGAACACAGCACGTACAACATCACGACGCGCACGCGAATTGAGACCGCGTACATTCCAGATAAGGATGTTTTGACCTATCATGGGGGAGAGCACTGGGCGACTGATCGGGTGAGAGCTTAGGCGGCGCGAACGGCTCTAGAGGCCCGCTGCTTCCTACCTGGAAAGAGCACCTGCATAGCCTCCCTCCTGGACGGCGTCAAAGGCAGCGCGAACGCAATCTGTAACTCCTGAAACGAAGCCTCATCAGGGAGTTCAGTCTCGACGTTTAGCCTAATGCGCTTCATCGTTACTTTCCTCGCCTGCGCCTCCGGCTTTAGCGCCCTGAACTTGCTCTTGGCTGCTAATCGTGCGCTCCGCTTTGGGATGAGGTCTTCATCATCGATCTCCTTCGCCCTCGCCGCACGGGTGGTCCTAAGACGCGGTGGCGACTGGCTGCGTCAGGGGCTTCTTGAATGTGCTGATGAAGTCCTCGACCGGCAGCAGCTTCTCCGAGTGCTCAGCGATGTCATCCACGACCACGACATCAGCACCAGGTGCCGCCTCCTCATCAGTAGCAGAATCCGCCATCTCGTCATCCGCGGCGTGCTCCAATGCGAGCACCGAGGAACGATTCCCGTCCTGGCCAAGGAGCGGAGTGGCCAGCATCGGTGAACTCGGGCCTGAGCTTAACTCTTCCGGCCCGGAGAGGCAAAGGTCGACCGCACGGGCCACCTCCCTGCTAGTGGCCTCGGGCTGCCACATGTCTAGGCCGAAGCCACACATGACATCCGGCCCATCCGACGGCCCAGTAAGAGAGCAGTTCGCGCGGCCCGCCCATAACTCAAAGTCTGCATCTAGGGCAGCCCCCACAAAGCTCTGGCCGCAGTAGCTGGAGGAGCAGGAGCCGCGCGGGCAGACGTCGATGGAATGGGCCCAAGCTTCGCAGACGCTGACGCCCTTCCGCAGCGTGCACAGCGCTGCCTCCGCCAGCATTGGGTCGGATTCTGACGACTTGACAGGAGAGGGTGAGCTGGTCCGCATGAGAGCGGAGTCAACTTGCATGACCACGGGCGCCTCGACACGCATCCGCCTCGTTGCGGGAATCCTGCTGCTGATGCCGCGACAGAGCATGGCGCCGCGCGGCGATGCGACAGGGCACGTCACGTCCCCGACCAGGATGGCGCCCCTCGATTCCCGCGCGCGGAAGGCTGGCCCGGACCCACAGCCCAAGCGCGGTTCCCTCCACTCCGCCAAACCGGGTCGTGCGCGGCCGCGATCCACCACTGCCACCGCCGAAGCCCGGATGGTAGCGGTTGTAGTTGCTGTCGTCGCTGTCGCCACCGGCATCATAGTCATCACCGGAGGACGGCGGCGGCGTATGCCAATCCTGGAACTCGATGATCCTGAGGCGCACCCAGCATCGCAGCGCCGGAACCTCGTCGTAGATGATATCGTGCGGACGTAGGTACAGCGGTGGACCGCCGCCGTGCTCCTCATCCGGCTCAGGAACCGCCATGATCTTCTCGTCGGGGATGAGGTCCGGGTTTGTGCACCATGCCGCCACGAAGAGCTCCCGCTCGTCGTCAGGATCCGCCAAGGCCTCGGGGTTGGCAATGTCGACCCGAGCACAGGAGGAGCCCAGGATGGTTTGGGATGCCCTTCATGCCCACCAGCACCCTGAATCTGAAGGAGCCCGCTGAAGCCATGGATAGACGGCTCCATCTGCGCCAGCGCAGGGCGAAAGGCGCACTCGGCGCCATCGGCGTACCCAGAATGAGTTCCAGGTCCTCGCGCCGGTTGAATCGAACGATGAAGTCCTCCGGCCTAGTACGTCGAATGGAGACTCTGTCCTCCGTGATGCCAAAGTCGTGGCCGAGGTGAGCCAGAGCCATCGCCGGCGTCACCCCCGGCCTTGTGCCCACCACCAGGGCAACCAAGGCCAGGGAGAGCGCGTCGTCCGCTGCCTGCAGCTCCGGGGTGCGGGGGACGACGACCATCTCCAGGAGCGGCGTTCTGGCGCGCGTCCGGGGCGAAGCTGGCGGTGCCTGGACCCTCCTGAGCAGAGATCGCAGCACCTGGGCAGGCCGTCGAGGGTTGGGGGACTCGTCCCCCGAGCCGCGGCCGCGCCGTCCTCGGCCGCGCCGCCACCAGATGTCACATGGGAGGCATGCGCAGAAGCCTCACTGGCAGGCTCGTCGACCCGCGTCACGCCAGCCGGCTCCTCGATGATGGCCAGCTCATCGACCGGTGCTTCAGGGTGGTGCTCCAGCGTGGGCGGCATGCATACCGGCTGCACCGAGGGCTCCCTCCTGGTGGAAGCCGAACGTGCGGAAGCCGTATCCGCCGGTGACGCACGGCGACTGGGGGACGGACGGCGTCGACGAGCGCTCCAACGTCGAGGCATGCGACTAGGGGAGCATCCGCGCTTCCCCTTGCAGCGGCCAGCGACCGGGCGGAAGCTGCAGTCGCGTTCTTGGTGACCCACCTCCCTGCAGGCGAAGCATCTCGGAGGGGACGTGCACTTCGCCCGCACGTGATCTTCAGCGAAGCAGTTGAAGCACTTGCCGACCAGGTCCCTGGGCACCGGCCGGCTAGGCACAGCGGCGCGCCGCCAGCGTCTGCGGCTCTGCACCCGCCTGAAGCCGTCCGCATCCGGCTCAATGGACATGCGTGCGGGGTGCACGACGATTGACGCAAGCCGCGTGGGGATGCGCTGGGGAGGCCGCGAGGCGTGGTGGTGTGCTCCCCTGGAGCTTGCAGGATTTGGCCGACGGCGCTGCTGGCGCGGCAACAGGACAGACTTATCCCGTTCGGACGACGGCGGCGCGTCGGAGTCGTCGAACGACGCCTCGGAGTCGGTGAAGCGCAGCCTGTCCTCGAAGTCCCCGTGTGATGCGATGTAGGGCTCCGCGTGCGGGTCGAGGGAGCTGGACCGGAGCACACGTCAGGCATGGGCGGCAGCCATCAGCGGAGGTAGCTCCAGGAAGGCCGATCCCCCGGAGCCGCGACCCGCCTCCTCCTCCTCCACCTGGTCCGCCCAAGAGCGGCGGGATGAGGACCCGCGCTCCATGGGTGGGGCTGGGCGGCGCGGCCTGGGTGACCGACGGCGCTGGTTAGGGTGGGCGACGGGGCCGGAGTGGCCGGCGGCGCGGGCTTAGGAGGACGCCGGGGCCGGGGTGGCCACCGGCGGTGGGGTGCCTGGGCGAGAATGTGTTTCTCCTTCCTTCCGATGGAACCTAATGGGGCAGAAGATGCGATATGTGTTTTAGCGAAAAAAACACATGAATTTTTTTTATCGCTCTTCCTCTCTCTTTCTCACCGCTGACCACCGGTGAGCTCGCCCCGGCGCCCGCATGGCGGTGGCGGCGGCGGCGGATCTATGATTTGTTCTTCTACAAAAAAAAAATTATGATCCGTGATCTATGGAGACTGGAGGTAGAAGAAGGGTGGAGATGGTTGGATCTTAATCATATGGTGAAAAAAATTTATGTGTTAAAACTGCATAAAACATACGGTTATGTAGTAGACAGATTCTCTTTCTATTACTCAGACCAAAAATCTTATCTAGGCCTTATTGAGATAGCTGTTAGGAATTAGTATTTGTCACTGTAGCACTTTCGTTTGTATTTGATAATTATTGTCCAATCATGATCTAACTAGGCTCAAAAGATTCGTCTCGCAATTTCAATCAAACTGTGTAATTAGTTATTTTTTTATCTACATTTAATACTCCATGCATGTGTCTAAAAATTTGATGTGATGAAGAGAGAATGAAAAAACTTGGAATCTAAATAAGACCCTATACAAAGATGAGCTTTCACCGGAATAGTTGGGCTATTGATACACCTGGGTTGGGTAGGTACTATTTGTGAATAAAAATTAGTTTAAATTTATTATGGTTGGCTAGCTAGTTTTTAAACAACTAGTTAAAGACTTAATTGAATTGTGAATGAACCCAAACAGACTATAAAAAATGGGATTACGATTCATTCCAATTCTAAGTATCCAAACGAGCAGAGAAATTATAGGTCAAGTATAAATTTGGAGACCATGACGAGTCAAACCATGTGTTGTATTTGAAACGGAAGGAGTACGAACTATTATAAGTAACAAGAACACGAAGTCTACCAGCATGATATGCGCGCTTCGCCGCACACGCGGATGGACCGTGCTTGAACGGCTGCAGGAAGCAATGGTTAAACAATGGACCAAACAGTTCATGAACAGTAACCAGTAGCGGCGGGGATGGAAAAGTGCCGAAGAAGTGTCTGAGGCTGTGTTTAGTTGTAGGAATTTGGATTTTAGGGCTATTGTAGTATGTTTGTTTTTATTTGGCAAATAGTGTTTAAACATGGACTAATTAGGCTCAAAACGTTCGTCTCGTAATTTCTCACCAAACTGTGCAATTAGTTTTTCTTTTCGTCTACATTTAATGCTCCATGCACGGACCGCAAACATTCGATGTGACAGGTACTGTAGCAAATTTTTGGAAGTTGGGGTGGAACTAAACAAAGATGAATAGCACGCCAACAGTATAGTAACAGTGTCTGGACAGTCACATCAAGTGTGTGAACAGTGCAGAGGGTCTCAGAGTCACAGAGTTTTTTTCTGTGTTAAGGGATCTTATTATATGGTGGTTGGACGTAGTAGCAGAGCTAAGGGTTAATCTGTATGGCCCATGGACCACTCCAAAAATTTGGATAAGAGTATTACATGTATTTAGATAGCTAGTTACTTTTAAGCAAACTTCAGAATTTCTAGATTCAAAACATATTTGTAAGACTTTTTAATGTATTTATCTCATTTTATAAAAAATTATATGTTTGCAATGGTAGCTTCGCTACCGGAAACAATAGAATTGCCGAGTATCTCAGGGTTTGCCGATTGCATTCCATCGGCCGGCAAACATCCTATTTACCGAGTGTTTTTAATTCAACACTCGGTAAATATATAGCACTCGGCAAAACCCAACTTTGCCGAGTGTCTAATAAAAAACACTCGGCAAACTACAACGAAACACTCGGCAAAGTAGAGGCACGTGCGCTGGGCGTGCGGCGGCCGTTGGGTGCACCGCCCTGCCGTTATAACTTTACCGAGTGTCCGTTAGAGACACTCGGCAAAGACAAGATTTGCCGAGTATTTCTTTAGACACTCGACAAAATGATATTGTTGCCGAGTTTTTTTATTGACACTCGGCAAAATAATAATTTTTTTCCTCGCTTGCCCTCCAAACTTTTTCTACTCTCCACATACAACATGTGGTACTACATGTTAAAATTTAGCATATTTCTCGATCTGTTTGCTATATTTAATTAATTTATTGTATTTAGAGGAATTTTTTGTTTTAAGTCAAATTTGAACTGCAAGTGATTCAAATAATAGAATAATTTGAGTGGAGAAATCATATTCATGTTATTGAGTCCATTTTAGGGCCTTACTCAGGAGATGAAAAGAATTTTCAAACATTTTGTTCAGGAAACACGACCACAAACTTTGTGACCGAATGATTTTTAAATTCTAAAAAAAGCAAACAAAGTCTGAAAATGACGAGATTTGTCGAAATCTCATGATATCGTACGTGGAGACTATGAAAAAAAATTGAGAAGGTTTCGCACAATTTGTCACGTACGACATTTACAAACCGAAGCATCTTCGAAGAAAAATCATAGCGTTGAGAAGGATCCAGTAAGATTTGGAGTCAAAGTGATGGTCGAATTGGGGTTTGACTTCAAAACTTTTTGTATAGGCAATAGACAACATAGATTGGTTCACATCAAATTTTGGTAATTTTTTGGATCCGTTTGATAATTTTAATTTATTAACTGCAATTTTAGAATTTTAATTGATATATATTGAATTTGAGCTATAACTGCTTGAAAGAATAGATTAATATTCGTAGAAAAATCAAATATGCATTGTTGAGTGAATTTGACAAGGTATTTTTAAATTACATCGTAACAAATTTAGTAAAACACGTTATGAAGAAGAAGGATGGGTGGGCATGAAATATCAATTTATTTTGTCGAGTGTTAACTATACGACACTCGGCAAACAATATAGTTGCCGAGTGTCATATAGTGTACACTCGGCAAAATACCCAAGCTGGCCCCACTTACCAGTACCATATCGGTTGGGAAATTGAAAAAACCAATACCGAGTGTTTTGAATCTGGCACTCGACATATCTTTACTTTGTCGAGTGCCATATTGCGGACACTCGGCAGAGCCCTTTGGTTTTTACCCGATCCGGCCGCACACTTACTCACACACACACTCACACACTCACCCGCACACACCCGCACACCGAACCGCCCTCCGCGCCGCCAGAGCGCCACCCACCACCCCACGCCGCCGGACCGCCCTCGGCCGTCGGGCCGCCACCCCCCCGCAGCGGGGCTGCCACCCTCTACCGCCAGACGGCCACCCCCCGCTGCCGGGCCCCCGCCTTCCCGTGCCGCCGGCGACGGCCCCCGCCTTCTCGGTGCGCCGGCGCGACTCCCGGCCCCCCGGCGCGACGCCCCTCCCGCCGCCGCACAGCGGCCCAGCCACCCGGCGCCCCTGCCTCCCAACAACCGGTGAGCCCTTCCTCTCTCCTCCTTGTCCTCCCCAGATCTCCCCAAATCAAGATCTTTTCCTTGTAAACATGGACAGTTGAGGAATTGAATTGCTTTTTTCTCCGCCATTGCTGTGTGTTTTTCGTGAACGTTGATGTATGTTTCTTTTACGAACTAGGAGAACATGATTATGCTAAAATTATGCATATTGCACCGCAGCACGGTTTGACATAGCCAAGATGAGAAAAAGGTTGGCCAATTCTGTTAGCCTGTTAGGAAGAAAGGACGGCTGCCTGCCGTTGCTCTGAGTTGTCTGTCTGTCCATCCATCTGTTGAGTGACTGACTGACTTGGAACCAACCAAGGCATGCAATGGAAAAGGAGATGACTCGGCAAACTTTACCGAGTGTTTTGGAGTTGACACTTGGCAAAGTTTAGAAACTTTGCCGAGTGTTTTTGGCTTGACACTCGGCAAACTTGAGAAACTTTGTCGAGTGTTTTTCCGTCGTGCACTCGGCAAAATCGCCGTCACCGTGCCATCCCGTTAACATTTTTTGCCGAGAGTTTATTTTTGCCGAGTGTTTATTGACACTCGGCATTGCTGAGTGGGCGATAAAAAAAAACACTTGGCAAACTACTGTTTGCCGACACACAGATGTCGTGTGTAGTATGCCGAGTGTTACACTCGGCAAAGCAGTTGCCGAGTGTTTTTGGGACTTTGCCGAGTGCCCCTAGCACTCGGCAAAACTACTGTATCCTGTAGTGCTTGCTACATTTATATTGTTAATAAACTTTTATATTAAATTAGACCTCCTTAGATTAAAATCATGGCTATGTTACTGGCTAGACAACGGATGTTATACCCAAAGGCAGGGTATAGAATTTCGATTGAAATTTCATGATCTTCAGTCCTACCGGCAGTAAGGTTCATGTGCCCTATGTATGGTTATGTTTTGTTTTTGTGTTTCCGATGACAACGTATGCCTTAGAACTAACATGTGTATTAAGATGTGTTAGAAATGTTACAATAGGTCATATGTATGTTAAAGGAGGAGTGTGGCATGAAAATTGGTGAAGAAATTAAACATAGTCTAACGAAGAAAGTGTGCAAAGGTTGCACACACAGAATGGTCTGGCGGCCAGGGATCTGAATGCTTCAAAAAATGATGTATCATCCGGTGATAATTATAAACAAGCTTCGGACTATCTGGTGACACTGTTCATTGGAACACGTCAGATGATAAGGTGTTGGTCGTGCTTTTTATACTAGCAAAGTCCAGGGAATATTCCCCACTGGATTATTGTTGGACTCTATAGTATAATTAGCAGATCGACTTTGTTTAGAGACGATGGCCATTGTGAAGTGTCAAGCACCAGACGATCTGCCAATGTTAGTTATTTTGCAGCATATCATCTGGTGGTGGTTTAGAGCAACAACATTGTGTGTTCATATTGGCTATGTAGGCATAAGATTCAGAGCACCTATGTGAATTTAGAGCTACGAAAATACATCATGAGTTTAACCATCTGAACCTTGACACCTGGATATGCTATCTACCCGTGAAAGGTCCTTGTTTGGTTTTGGTAATTGAGTGACAACCTAGGTGGACTAATGTGTTTAAATGTGAGATACATAGGTGATTGGTCTACAGGTACACTTAAGTGAGCAACTCATGCCATAAAGGTGAAATGGCTTGGATATGTTGCAAAGCTCATACATGTGATGATGGAGCGAGCTCATTGCATATGAGACATGACATGGAGTCATGTGACTAAGGTGGAGAAGATCAAGACAAGACTTGGCTTGATGGACCGGTTGCAAACATGAAGGGAAGTTAGAGGCTTTGGAGCGATGGACCTCGTGGCGGTGAAGCTTGAGCAAGACTTGGCGCCGATGGACAAAGGCAACGGTGAAAAGCAAGTGAGGTCAAGATCAATGAACCAACAAGGTCACGTGATGATATGAAGTGGATCATATCATTTGTGATATGGTTGGTGCATATATTGCATCAACATCGGAGGAGATGGAATGGAATGTGCAAGGCAAAGGTATAACCTATAGGATATTTTATTTCACCGGTCATAGGTGTGTAGAGAAGTTTATGACCGGGTTTAGGATAGATGACAGTACTATTAAGAGGGGCAAACTTGTTTGCATATCGGTCATCTAGTACCACTCGAGTGATCTAACTTTGCATCGTTGGTAGGATTGAGTGGCGTGATGAATTGAGTGACTAATCCTTTAGAAAACATTTGTGAAAAGCTAATACACATGCATAAGATAGTGAACACGTAGTGGTGTTGGCACATTTGCAGAGGAGTTGTTGGAGTTGATTTGGATCAAGTTGGAGAGGAAAATGAGAAGAAAATAGCAAGTTTGGGTTATCCGAGGGTCAGAAAACGCAACTAAACTTGCAGCCAGCGCGTAGCCTAGCCGGGGGGTGGCACCGCCATTTCTGGTGTGCATCGCCCCCCTAGGGGACGGCACCACCACCCTAGGCAAGGTGCACCACCACCCCCTGCAGCATGCCAAAATAAGCACAGCCACCCTTTCGTATTTTAGGCATAACTCTTAGCTCCGAACTTCGATTTCGATGATATAGGGCTTTTCGGAAGCTAATGAAATGCTCTACAAGATTGATCTGGTGTTTTTGGTTTTGAGCTAAAGAGGGACCACCATGGTCACTGGACTGTCTGGTGGTAGCACCGCCACTTTTTTCTAGAGAGTGCAGTTTTTTAGGGTTGGCCTGGGTGGTCACCCCCACCACTAGGGCGGTGCACCCCCACCCTATGTCTGGTGCCAGGGCCTCAACGGCTAGTTCAAATTAGCTGTTGGGACTTGACCGTTGGAGGGGCACCGCCCTATCCGGTGCCAGGCACCACCCTGTCCGGTGCCCTCGCAAAAAAGGGATACTTTGCTCCAACGGCTCTATTTATCTTGGGGGCTATAAATAGAGGTGGAGCTTAGCCATGGGCTGGTTGCTGAGTGTAACACCACTGGTGTTACGAGCTTGCTTAGCACCAAGATTAAAACCTAAAAGAGATTAGCAAAATAAGTTCGCTAGGTTTAAGAGTTTAAAACTTACCTGAAATGATAAACAAATTCTATGTGACTCACTTTTGTGGTTGAGAAAAATCAAAATAAATATTGTTAACTAGTGCTTTTGGGAGCTCAAAAATCAAATTTAAAGTTAAGATAAGCTCTTTTCGTTAAGACGACAAACACTTGAACTTACGTTTAAAGTACTATTTTTGGCGATTTATTGTGGGTAAAATAATTAATTAATGCTTAAATATTTTGTTCCTATGGGTTAGTATGGAGTATGGACCATTGCATGAAATGCTTGTGGGTTGAAGTTAATAAGGTTTAGGCCTTTTAAAAATTGTAACAAAAGTGTTAATGGCTGTTAGTTCAAACTGAACCTTAACTTTTCTAAGTATGGGAAAAATAGTAAGACAATGCTATCTTGACATTTAATTTCTAACCAAAATGTTTAAACACTAGTTGCATGTTTTGGTATTGTTGATTGCATCAAAGTGAGTACTTGAGCATGGCATAGGTGGTGGTTGTGTTGGGTGTCACGTTGCTCTCGTAAAAATTGCCCAAACTTCGTTAAAACACGATGTGAACTATATCATTGATGTTCTATTCATGAACTGGCACTTCGGGGACGAGCTTAGGTTGGCATTCGTGTATCTCCCTCCCTAACTGTTCTTTGATCTTGATGATTGCTTCATTAGATAATCGGTAGTGTAGACTTTAGAGTAGTGAAATTGGTTGAGTTCCAGACGTGAGGATCAACAACTCTTGAGTCGCTTTAAAATGCGTACGCGACACCGGTGGCGGTCGATCGGCCTTAGTCCGCAATCACCACGCGCACACATTGCCGATGCTTGGCCGCTCCTGGCAGCGATCATGCTCATGGCCGGCCTTGTTGGCTGCCGGCCGCACGTCGGGCTGAGGGTTGGTCGCGGTCGCCTTCCGTGACGCCGGGCTGCTGCTGCGTGGCCATCGCCTGTGCGCTGCCATCCTGGACGTGCGCGGGCCAGACCGATGTCGCGGCGGCCTTTGTTTAGCTAACGTGGCACTCTTTCTACCGCTCGAACCACCTACTTGCCAAGCCGCTGCCTGCCTCCGTAGTCACGTCGCACTAATGTCCTTGTCACGGTGTCACTACCCTCCCTCACGTCGTTTTGTTGCACTGACCTTGCGAGACGGCCTCGCACGCGATCGCTGCTTCACTGCCACCGCCCGCGTCCCACCATGGCCGAGCAGTCCCATCACGGTGCTCCACGATGCTCTCTCTCTGAGTCTTCCCTGCGCGGATGCCTTGCTTCATTAACGCAGCCTCGATCGAAATAGGTACAGCCTTGAAGTGCTGCCGCCCCCGCCTGCCCTTGTCGCCGACAGAATTGCCCCGCTTCGCACGACAAATACGTGCGGTTCAGGGCACCACACCTCAATTCAACGTTCTAGCAGTTAGACAGGAAATCCAACTAGCAGCCTAACCCTCACCTTGGCGCAACCGAGCACTACTGGCCGCCAATTTGGCATTTTTCTCACCGCTGTGCCAGTGAAATTGGGGTAAGGTCCGAATGGGTTCAATTGTTTGTATCCACGAGCTCGCTTTGACCTCCTCTATCTGGTGCTCGCACCATTTGGCCAGGGCGCTTGCCGGAGATGTGGTGACGCATGGGTGTCCATCCCGGAGCACCGCCACCCTGGTGGCTCGCACGTGGCAAGGCCACCTCGGCACTCCTCCGCCTCAACCATCACCGCAACACGAATTCTAGTGAGCTACTAGTGCTTAACCGCTATCTCTACCACCCCGATAGTATCTTAGGCCGTCGGAACAGTCGTGCCGCTGCACGGTTCTACCCGTTGTCGAGACCAGGCCTCGGTAGTGCACCGTTAAGCTCCCAACCGCCGCCATCCTTGCATGTTTGGCCATAGAGCTTAGTTGACCCCTTGGTCTCACCGGAGCGCCACTAGGTTGCCCGGCGTAACTGCCGTATGCCGTCAGTGAGCCACGCCATCACGCGCACACACCCAGGGGTATGCCGTTGTAGAGACGAGTTTTTACAAGGTGTTAGGTGTGAAGTGTGTCTCTTCTGCAATAGTGCGCATAG